TATCCTAGCTGGTTCAGTTTGCAATTTTGTGTGGAGTTTGCATGTTCTCCCTGCGTTGGCGTAACTTCCTCCTTTTGTTCTGGTTTCCCCAATCCATAAACATGCGCTATAGGTGAATTGGATACCCTAAATTGGCCATCGAGTACGAGTGTGTGTGTAAACGTTAGAGTGTATGGGTCTTTCCAAGAACTGGGTTGCAGCTGGAAGGGTATCTGCTGCATAAAAACATGCTAGAATAGCAGAGATGGGTAGTAACAAATATTTTGTTACTGTACTTAAGTAGATTTTTCTGGTATCACTACTTTACTACTTATGTTTTGACAACTTTTTATGTTGCTCCTTACATATTTAAATCAAGCTTGTTACTTTCGTTTTTATGTGTTTGGTGTCATGATCGATATTATTTCTTGTCATTGTGCAATCTGAGCGCATTTTTGATGCATTCAGTCTGTTTTTGTCATTGCGGGCCAACCATGGCTATCAAGGCGGGAGGGGATTATTAAGTCAGATTTATTAGCCCCCTTTGAATTTTATTTTCTTTTTTTATATATTTCCCGAATGATGCTTAACAGAGCAATGAAACTTTCGCATTATGTCTGATAAAAAAAAATTTCGTAGTGCACTTTGAAAACATTAATGTCATTTTCAACACAGCCTATAGGTGACCTATTATTTAAAAGCGGAATTTATGTTACGTCTACAAATCTTGTGAAAACCAAAAGCATTAGTTAATTCTTTTAATTTATGGTAGGTTATTTATTAAGTATCTGTACTGTATATGACATAGGCCTGCTGGTTACAGTTACCTTCTGTAGTGTTTACATGTGTCAAATTGTAAAAGTAGACTACTCAAAAAAATGTCAAATAAATGAGCAATATCCTACTTAATAATAATAATCATCATCATCCTCCTCATCATCGTTAATATTATCATTATTTTTTTTTTTCATTTCAAATCAATAATAAATATTCTATTATAATTTTATTATAAATTTCATTTTATAATAAATAGCCTCATTATTTACTTATTTAATTATTTATTTATTTATATGATTCATATGATATTAGAATACGTGTTAGCTTTTGTAAGTGATATGTTTTAGAATATAATATGTATTATAAAATTTATTAAAAATTTATTATAAATTTCTTTTTATAATAAATAGCCTAATTATTTATTTATTTATTTATTTATTTATTTATTTATTTATATGATATTAGAATACGTGTTAGCTTTTGTAAGTGATATGTTTTAAAATATAATATGTATTATAAAATTTATAAAAAATTTATTATAAATTTCATTTCATAATAAATAGCCTATTTATTTATTTATTTATTTATTTATTTATTTATTTATTTATTTATATGATTTATATGATATTAGAATACGTGTTAGCTTTTGTAAGTGATATGTTTTAGAATATAATATGTAATGTTCAACTTCTCAATAATGTTAGTAAAGCAAACATAGGCCCTGTGTGCCATTTACATATATTTCAGTTATTATGAAAAGCAAGTGCATGTTTTTACCAAATCTAATATTGGATTTTATTTCAATTGTATGTGCGTATAAAACAATATCATTTGCACAAAGAAATGATGGGTTTTTCTCTAAAGAAGTAGTTACTCTACCCTATTTAGAGCATCATTATGGGCGTTTTATGTTATAGCTAACGTGGTTCAAGCGATGGATCTGCGACAGAGAAACTACGGTTTTGGGAAACACTTGTCATTACATCGTTCTTTTCCCAAACGATGCATCGTACTGTGATAGTTCAGCAGCGAGTTACGTCGTTGTTTGGGAAACGCACCCCTGGGTAATTCATGAATAAAAGTATAACGTTAAAGATCCTAAAATTACCACATAATTAAAAGATCATGCACATGTTTTGTAGGTTATAGTCACACCTGTGTATGTAGCTTTTAGCATAGAGTAAAAATATTAACAGAATTAATGTTTATACATTAAATAAAATATCCAGAATACCCTGGAAAAAAAAAAAAACAGTAAAAATTACGGTTTATGTGAGAGGTCTGCTAAAGAAAAAAAAGTTTGCAGTCATATACGATGAGTATTTATTTGAGCAAAAAACAATATATTTGCAATATATTCAAAAATATACAGGCCTACAGAATTATTTTGGAGTGTATGAACATAACTGTCAGCTGTTGTTTTTGATTCAACAGCCACAAAACTACCTAATGAACGCTGTGAGTTTGCATCAGGATGATGATACATGGGGGAAACTGGATATGTACCTACCTAGTGATACTAAAGTATATAACGGGTACTTTTTACTTAAGTACTTTTTGTGGGTGTTCTTTTTTACATTTACTGGAGTACAAAATTGTAATCAGTACTTCAACTTTTACCAGAGTAATATTAAATCAAGTCATTTTACTTAAGTAAAGGATTTGTGTACTTTTGTCATCTCTGTAGAATAGTCGGTGGTTCATTCCGCTGTGGTGACCCATGATAAATATAGGACTAAGCCAAAGAAAAATGAATGAATGAATAATAATATGTTGCTGATTGGATCGAACAAGCATTGGTTCAGTCTAATTTTCCTATTCTGGTCGCCTTATTTAACTTTATTTACACTGTTGTTGATTCTGTCACATTTAGCAACTGCTTATGTCAGGAAGCCTTCTACTTAAAATAATTAGTAAGCTAATTAAAGTGTTTTTTTTTTATTTAATTTTGTAATTTTTTTTTTGCATTTTATGAAACACCAAGGACCAATTTCAGCTTAACAATTTTCTGCAATGTTCCACTGAAGAAGAAAGTCAATTAAATCTTGGTGAGTAAATAACAGCAAGTTTTCGTTTTTGTGTGAACTATGACTTTAATAAAAAAAGCACTTATTATGGGGTTAGGGTTATGAATTTGCTTAGATTTAGTGGTGTTGCTTGCAATTATGCACATAATGTAAATTACTATATATATATATATATATATATATATATATATATATATATATATAAATATATA